ACAGACTGCCTTATAAAATGCCGCAAGTCCCAATGACGGCACTGTAAACCGGCATTAAATGAGCGTGCTTGCTACCGCTATCTTGAACCAAAGCACTTGAGAAGACAATCCCCCCCCAAAAAAAAAACCGATTTGAGCGGCTGTTGGGGATCCACCTGCATTCCAAAGATCCCTCATGAACATGTCCACGGCGATCAACCCCCTGGTCACTAGTGCTTCACAACTACACAATTATAACACGTTATCCAGGAGTTGTAAAGGGAAGTTATCAATTGCGACTAACGGCGACCCCAATGCGATTCCGACGCGGCAATGAATAAATGGCTTTTTAACAAGGCAGGAATTTTTGCAGGGTCTGGATGACATCTTGGATACTAGTAAATGTACAAAGTAGGCGAAAATAAATGCGTAAAAAGGTAGGGTCGTCGCAGAAGACATCTGGAAAATGTGGTGGTGGTGATAAGAGTACGAAGTCGTCCACAGCTTCGTAAGAATAGAATAAGTTGTCGTCAAGGTTCGTCTACCGATTTGGTACGGCCTTCTTCTGCTTCTTCTTCCGCGAGAGGCTCAACCTCCTGACCAGCTTCACCGTGGAGGATGACGTTCTGTGCAGTGATACACTGCATCCAGTCATTGGTGGACTTTCGGAAGGAAGTAAGGGCTCCAATGACACACACGCGATCACCCTGGCATAGACCCCTTATTCGGTTTATGAGTAGCTGGTCGAAAACGTGGATTCTAAATATGTAAAAAAGAGACCTCTAAACAGCAAAAAAGAAATAGACAAGTCATGTACAGAGGTTGTCACCAAAAGGTGTCTAACGCCTTGGACATCATCAATGTAAACCTCTTGCATTATTCCTCATCTAGAAACAAGATTTGGGAAATGGAAAAGCTGCTTAAACGCTAGCAGACGCACAGAAGACAGGGCGAATTTAGCTATCAGAGCGGTTGAAAGGTGTAACGCAACTGCGCTGTACCGAGCACTTCATTTACTAGGGATGGCTCCGCAGTAGTAGCAGCCAGAATTTTAAAGAAAAACTACGCTACTGTACCATTACAGATTATCGGGTAGGTCCTACATAAGGGGGACAATGTTTAGGTTGTACGCGAAAGCCGGCTGACTACGCAGATGCAATTGCTCTAGCTTTGGTGATTAACAGACTGTAGTGTCACGGGCGAAGGAGATCGCCATGTCGGATGGCTTGTCCATAAACGCTGGTAAGACCAAAGTGCATTTATGCTGCAAACCTGCCCAACAGAAGGCACCTCTCGAGAAGAAGTAACCAGCTTTAAATACCTCATGGCGAGCCTGCTACCGAATGGACAGTGTGAGAACGACATTGTCTCTCCCGAATCGATGTTCCTCGGCAGATTTTCT